GAAACGTTTCGTCTCTCATCCGAGAGACTTCCTCAGTCTGAGGTGAGGTGAGCTGAATACAGCACCTCAGACTGAGGAAGTCTCTCGGATGAGAGACGAAACGTTTCTACATTTTTTTTGCTTTGCTTTTTTTGTTTTCTTGTTTTTTGAATGTCCAGAGGACCAGATTGAACTTTTTTGGAACTGAACAAATCATTCTAAAGAGACTAATCAGTAAAATCAGCACTGAACAAAAGGAGAGCGCTTTGATCCACACATTTAACATTAAAAACAATATGTAGAGCTAAGCTGTGGTTTATTTATTTTTTTAAACTGAAGGGCATGGAGATGATGTCTATAAAACCCAAACAGGAATCTCTTGTTTGAGTCACACCAAGACGAGTTTAAATTTTTTAAAAAATCTCTTGTTAGAGTGAGCATACAGGCGTAGAGGTTACATGACTCCGCTGTGCTCCGTCACAAAAGCAGCAAGGACAGAAACCCCCAGTTCATTCCTTCAGTATTAGGGTGCCTTGTTTTATGAGGCACAGCAGCATGGGTACACTGGTTGTGTGTTTTGTTGCATACACACAATAAAACTTGTGGATCAATGTTTCAGAGATTCTGCAAGCAGCTGTTCACAAAAAAAAGGTGAGGAAACGGAGCACTCTAAAGTCCACCCCTAAAGGAACGCAACGTACATATGGATGAAAGCTGAAGCATGCGAGCATAAATTAAACTTTGACCCTAAACTAAGTCGAATAACTGCTCAGCTCCTGTGCAACGTGTGGAATTATTTTCCTAATATTTCCTACAAAGATTTGCAAGCCGCAAAAAAAAAAAAAAAAAAAAAGATGTGACTCTGCTTCACTGCTCATGATTCTGTAACCTTTGCTGTGTTAGTTGCCCGTACGTATGCACCGTGACGTGCATGCCATGTGTGCAACAAGAACCACAATTTTTTAAATTTCTCAGTTCAGCCATGATCAAGCAGACATTAGCTCACTACAACAAACGGACACAAGAAAATCACTCGTTCTAAACGGGAACATTTTGAGGAAAATTCCAAAATAACTTAGAAGGAATTTCAACCCTTTCTGCTCCAACTGGGCCATCCCTGACTCATCGAGCTCCTTCTCCTCATACACTCTGTAGGCTCTGCATTGCAGTGGAAACCCCCCATGTGAAATGTGCAAATTCACAAAGTACTTCCAGTTGGATTAACCTATAGCCACACACACACACACACACGCACGCACACACGCACGCGCGCGCACACACACACACACGAGTCTGTGGGGTGGGGGTGGTATACATTCCTACTCCCCGCATTTCATTTGGGGAAGCGTGCATGTGGGGGGTGTGGCATGGAGGATTGGGGGTTAGCCCTGTTTCAGGGAAGGGTAACAAGGGCCCTCTCTGCCCTGTGGGGGTGGGGCCCTGTTGCCATGGACACGGACAAGTCCACTGACAGGAACATGTAGAGCAGGGTTAAAACTGGGAGGGGAGGCCCAGGAGTGACTGGGGTTGGCTGGTCATGTGATGGCCAGGAGGAGGTCGGGCTCCTTATTTACTTTCAAAAAAAGGCGACACATTTGCTCCCTGGCTCAGACCTATGGGCTCGTACTGTGACCGCTGTGGGCACGAGAGCGTGTACGTGATTACACACGTCCTCCAGACAAGCAGAGCATCTCCAGTTCTTGATAATGAAGTGCTCAACGTGGGACACCAACCACATCATCTCTGTGGGCAGAGGTCTTGAAGTCAGGCTGTAACTGCTGCAGCCCATCAGCACAGTGTTGAGTCCATGTGGAGCCAGCGCTGCATGATGCATGTCTAGAGACCGTCACCTGCACACTGGGTGAGACAAGGGGCCATACATGCACAATATATGCAGCTTTGACACATCAAACTGTTATAAACAGACTGGAGCCCACAGTGACCTCATCACCCACAGTTCTGCTACTTAAGAGCTCAGAGGCTGCTCTACGAAAAGTTCTGATCAAACGTACACAGTGTTAACAACCGTTCATCGTTTACCTCAAAATAAGGAAAACTATAGAAGAACTACACTGTTCAAATGTGCTACGTTGTCATACAAACTGACTTTTCACCTTTGTACATTTTCTGCACATGCACGTAAAGACCACCCCTTCTCAGCCATGTGGGTTTTTGTACGCGTACACGACACATGGTACGCGTACACGACACATGGTACGCGTACACGACACATGGTACGTGTACACGACACATGGTACGTGTACACGACACATGGTACGTGTACGACACATGGTACGTGTACGACACATGGTACGTGTACGACACATGGTACGTGTACGACACATGGTACGTGTGAGGACTGTGGAAGAAATATGGTAAAATAAATTAAAAAGAAGCAGATGCACCAGTAAGATTCTGATGACTGTGCGACTTCCCAGTGAAGTGTACACATTTTCCACAGAACAATCGCACCCCCCAGCACAAGAACCAGTGGGTGTTGCCTTCACTCGATGCACAGCAGCAAAACGCTCAGAAAAAGTGAAATTTAAATGTCAAACTAAGAGAAACGGCAAATTTAACATGAACATTGGTAAACCTTTACACTGTATTTTTAGGATTCATTATGGAGGATATTTTAAAACAGTGCGGGGGGGGGGGGGGGGGGGGCTGTCAGAATAAAGAAGAGTTTACAGCAGAATTGTTTTCCTGTAGTAAACCTTAAAGTGCAACATTTATTAAACACACCTTGATCCGTGTTGTAGCACCTTCACTTCCTTACAGAGAGCCCCCAGCTGAAGCCTGCAAAGCTAGAATTCAATAAGCCCCCCCCCCCACACACACACACACACACACACACACACACACAGTGTACAAGTGTGTGCCGTCTTGTGTTGAACAGGGTTAACAGACCCTCCCTCTTTCCACCCAAGTGTGGCTGAAAGTAGACTCTGCTGCCATCATGGCAGCAATATTATCAGTTCATGTTGGTGGGGGTGCAGATTTAGCACCAACTTCTTTATTTACTACACCTACAATTAAAACTATCAATCAGCTGCCAAAAATCAAGTCCACACAAAGATCACAAAAATCCTCACGTGCTACTTTTTTTCTTCCATTTCATCTTTTTACCGCTTTCACCGTGAACTCTTATTTTGGCAAAACTTTAAATATTATTATTATTCTGATTAATTATCCACGTAAAATTAAATTTTTCTTAAAATGACACGTGCGAAGGAACAATTTTTAGCAAATCAGAAGGAATTTGACCCAATTACGTCACCGCTAAAAATGCGCCACGCAAAAACTTCCAATCAGCTGATGACCCAAACGCAGAGTGGGCCCAAAAAACGCCTTTTTGTTTGGCCTTTCACCGTCATCCAGTCTACACGGTCTGACCCCTCGCAGTCGGGGGGGGGGGTTTGGAGTCCATTTCGTGCAGCAGCAGCACAATGTGCCGAGGAGGGCGGAAGCGACCGACGGTCAGATCCTCCTCAAATGGACTCCACAGGGTCCAGTCCAACCCGCACCCTCCCGGCGGGGTGGGGGGGGACCAGCCAGCTTAGATGTTTACAATAAATAACTTGTGGAGCTAAAATAAAGGAGTAAAACTCAACACACAGCGAGGGGCTCTGCTGTCATGGCGAGAGGAGGGAGGACACCAGAACACCCCCCCCCCACACACACACACACACACACAGACACACGCATACACACTCCTCTACCTGACCCCCCCATGGTATTCTGGTTGAATTACTTCAAAGGATAAATGTAATAATGCAGCACCTCCTGCGTAAACTTCAAAGGATCAAAGCGCTACAGAGGAGGAGAGGGAGGGGGGACCCCCCCAAACTGATTATTTGTTTTTAACTTGACCTACCTTTGACGTTTGGGCACGGAGTGCTCCACTTCCAGAACTTTCCCGTGAAGTTCAACTTTACCTATAAAAAAAAAAAAAGCAAGATATATTTCAGGTCGTCTCCCGCCACACGCCTCCTGCTCCTCGTGTTTAGAAAAAGGAGCCCAGCAATGTGTCATGGAGGAGTGCTACAAACAGGTAAAACACGGTGGCCTCCTTTCAGCAGGGAGGCACGGCAGGGAGGGAGAACATGCTCAGAAGTTGAACAAAAGGAGTGACTCAAAGTGACAAGTTTGGCTCAGCTAGCTTAAAAACTACAAGCATGGAGTCATGTAACAATTAAACACCTGGTGTGTCCCAACACACGAACAAGGCCCAAACAGGAGCAAGCTCGCGCACGCTGCTGTTCGTGAGGATCACTTGTCGGCGTGCCCCTGAACGCCTCACGTGCCCCTGAACGCCTCACGTCCACCACAAATGGTTGATTTCACTTTGAACCCGAGGAAGTTGTTGGACCGAGTGTCAAAAGGACAAACTGAGTGTGAAGACAACTGGACACCCCCCGTGCACGCACAGGAGGAAACACAACCTGTAGTGTTTAAAGGGACCCCCCTCACCTGACAGAACATCGATGGCCCTCATCGCGCTCTTCTCGTCGGGGCAATCCACGAACGCGTAGCCGGTTTTCACGAGAAACGGCCCACTGTGGGGGATCTTCCACTGCGTGAAGACACTTTCCAAGTCCTCCTCGCTCGCCTCCGCGCTCACGTTGCCGATGTAGAGCTTGTTCATGGTCCTCACCGGAGGAAGAAGGAGAAGAGAAAAAACAAAGAGGGGACAATCTTTTGAAGTGTGCGCGCGCAGAGGGGAGAGACAAAGTTGTTCGCTCCCACGGAGGTGCGCTGCGTTTGGAGGAGGACGGCGGCTGCTTCCCGCTCGTCCGACAGACACGGGTGGGTTGAAGTGGCGAGCCTCGCGCACACAAGTCAGTCAGTGCGTTTGCGCCCCTCTCTCTCTCGCTCTCTCTCTCCCTCTCTCTCACTAACGCGCAATAAATAAATGCTCAATTATTTATCACCAAACTGACGGCGGGGCTATGGGGGGGGGGTACTACTTTGTGTCTCCCTCCCTTAAGAAAAAAATAATATACATAAGAAAACCCTCTTTTTTTTTTCTTTTGGCAGAGTCAGTGAATGTCACACACGATAAGCTTGGAGCCCGCCTCGAAGTCTAGAGCATAGAATGTGTGTGTGTGTGTGTGGGGGGGGGGAGGGGGGGGGAGGCAGGAAAAAACTTCTTTTCCGGCTTTTTTTTTTTGAGTGAGCCACGTGTTCAAACTACAAATCAGCCCACACGTGAGGAATCTCAATTGTTCAATTAAGTGTTGGGGGGGGGGGGGTTTGCACGAGGAGCTTGGATGTCGTGGCGGGCGTCAAAATGAGTGAAGAAGAAATGTGGAAGAAAGCGTGACTGCGCGTGAAGGGAATCCGTGAGAAACGATGGCGTGTCTTACAATCATGATATCTGTGTCTTTCTCTGCGAAGCTCGCGCTCCCATTGGTCGGTTAGAGGAAAAGTGGCTCACGCACGCGCACAACAGGGAGACTCTATTGTGGTTGAGGGGGGTGTGTACTGATGACACAGGAAGGGGAACACAAAAGGGGGCGGAGTCATCCGTTAATGATGTTGCACTTATATATAGTTGACAAAACATTAAAACGTTTTATGCGTGTGTTTGTGTGTGTGTGGGGGGGGGGGGGGGGGGGGCATGGGCTCTCAATCTGGGAACGACACGTATACTAAAACCCAGATGACGGCATCCAGCTTCTCCAACAGGAGTGAAGCCATGCCCTTTTTGATCCTCAGCTCAAAGTCCAACAGTAGGCCTGATTGAACAGTGGTCACACACACACACACACACACACAATATAACACCTGAAGGGGGGATCCTCAATTCAGAAGAATGCCCCTTAAAAAATGCCTTCCAGGCTATTTGGCACAATCATGCAGACATGCAGAGCGGAGACTCATGGCGGAGGCGCCTTATGGATCACTCAGAGAGGAGGGGGGTCCTCTGTAGACCCAGTGCAGCTTCACATGAAACACAAAACTAAAACAACATGGATCTTTAAGTCAGACGTGAAGGGAGGAGTTAGTTTACATGTTGGACAAATTTGGGGATAAAAACCGACCTCTGCTTGAAGGTGAGAGGTCATGATGATGACGACACAGAAGTTTGTCAGAGCCAGAAGTGAAGATTCATTCAAAGACCTGCAGGACTGAGTGGAACACAACACATCCAGCAAAATAGCTTTTGTCCTTCATACTTGTTTCCTGTCATGTGCAATCCTTTTTTATGTCTGTCATGTGTTAACTTTAATTTATGAAGCTAACTTGGGAAAACTGCTACAAGAATTCCAGTGCACACATATAATGTATTTGTTGTGGAAATGGCAATACACTCTAAATTTAAGTCTAAAATCTAATTTCAAGAGCACTTGCTTTCTAAATTGCCCCTGGAAATTTCTTCAAAAGGAACATAAAACTGATATGACCTTTAGATATCTGTTAAAATAATGCACAGAATAGCCTGGTTTGAAGAGTTTCAGTTCTGTTTCCCGTTTCATCTGTTATCATGCAAACATCATAAATCCCTGCAATGCAACGATTTGTCCTTTGGTTACAATCTATTTGCAGTTAGAGTGCTAATTTACATAATAGCTTTAACTTTCACCAATTCTCTTCCAGGCTGAACGTGTTTTTTTTATTATTATTGAAGTCTACAAATAGTTTGAAAACGTTAAAAAATGAAAGTGAAAACGCCTTTCACTGCAGATGCCAGCAGCTCTGCGCTGAACTGATAATTCACGTAATTCGTGAAAAAGGAGAAGGGCAGGTAAGAAGCCGGCTCAGGAGCCATGACTGTGGGGTTTCCTGCTGCTGAGCAAACACTCCGCCACTCTCTGATTGGCTCCTAGCTTCAGCCAATCAGAGAGCGGCGGAGTCCCCGCGCCCCTCCCCCTCCCTCCCCTCTTTACTACCTGCGCTCTGATTGGCTGTCCCTCAGCACCGCTCTCTGATTGGCTGCCCGCCTCGACATATTCTATATGAATCCGCGCGCGCTGTTTTGCGTTTCCTCCTCTCGTGCTCGGCTTCTTTATTTCTGTTTTCTTCTGTAAGTGTCTCGTTAAGCACATGGACGGAGACGATAAAGAAATCTAACGGCTCGCTTCAGGAAATCTTATTTCACCCTGTTTACATTCACGAAGCACTTCTATAAACTTATTTAACATTTAATAAAATCAGGTGTTTATTATTGAAACGACCTCATTTACTATGGAGGAGCTCCTACTTTAACTGCTTTTGATTCATTTGTAATTTATTAAAAACTGCTGCCTAAAGTGTTTCTAAAACAACTTATAATATGGTCCCACTTGGGGGGGGGGGGGGGGGGGGGCAGGTTCTGCTGGTCTAGTTAAATTCGGACATTTTTTTTATTTTCGGATTTATTTTGATTTGAACAATTTCCAGCTCGAATCAAAGAAGTAAACGCAGAAAAAGGGGCGCTCGTGTAGGTGCTGTGACCCCCCCCTCCCCTCCCCCCATCCTGACCCTGTCGGTTTAAATGAACTGATGCATGGCTGCAGCCTCTGCGTGTGTGTGTGCGCGCGCGTGTGTGAGCAGGCCCTGCAGGAGGAGTAAGTGAATGTATCGCTGAGGAATGTACAAAAAGTCCCCCCCCCCCCCACACACACACACACACACCCTCTTCTTCCTAGTTTCACTTCCCTCTTTATGGACAAATTCCTATAGGGGGAACTTCAGACCAGTTCTATATGTTGGGAGAACTGGTGCGATTCATGCCTCTGCTGAAGGAAAAAAAAAAAGGAGTGACAGAATTGATCTGAAGGGGACAAACTGCAAGAAGAGAGAGAGGGGTGGGGGGTGGGGGGGTGGATTGTTTAAGTTAAACGCAGTTTATAGCCCAACTTTGAGCCGCACTTGGCCTCACTCCAGCAGTCCCAGTAACTCCAGCAGTCCCAGCAGCACGTTAGGCACAGAGTCTGGTTGTTTCCTGGTGAGACTTATTTCATATTTATATCTCTCTATATGTTCGATGGCTTTAAATGTGCACTTTTGTTGTGAACCAGTGGAGTGACCGCAGCGCACAGGGCGCGCACGCTCTCTGCGCGCCATGTTGACGCGAGCCTCTGGTTGCAGTCTGGCTCAAGACTGTTTCTGCTCCCAGTGCTCCCAGTGTGGGCTCCCTGTCGCCTCAGAGTGCTTCACCTTAACACTCGGGACCACCAGAAGAGGCAGGAAGTGTGTGTGGATGAAGCAGCAGCTGGTTTTGTCCCAGTTGCTCTGGATGACACCCTTCATCCGAGCAGAAAATGGCGGTCTGTGTGCCCTTTTTTTTTTTTTTTTTTTTTTCCAAAACGTGCATGAAATGTTCGTGCACAGCGGCGAAGAACGAGTTAATGTTTGCTGGGAATCGACTCAAAGAGCAGCCCGAGTCCTCTCAACGCTTTTATTAAGTTACATTCAAGAAATGGTTCTTCCGTCATTTACTGTTTTCAACAAGTGAAAATCCTTGAAAAAAGATAAAATAAATAGCATAAACAAATGTTGTGACGCTTCTATAACGTAATTTTTATTTATTTATTTATTTATGCTGAAAACTGCTTAAAATCTATAAAGGAGCTAAAAGGCAGTGTTTGGATTTAGTGGGCAACAAGTGGAAAAAGCTTTCAACAGTTTTTACACATTCTCCAGCACGCTGCATGACGTGTAGCATAAATACATTTTGATTTGCTTTTACTTTGTTATTTTACATAACTTATTTTTTCCTTTAAAATACATTTCTGTGTGTTAGGGACTTACAGATTTTTGCCATTTCGGAGTGTTTTTCAGCAGATTCTCCTCCAGGCTGTGGAGTGTTTTTACGCAGGGTTAGATATTTATCAGCACGCGCTGTTTTGTCATTTTACTGTGAAAACGTTTTTTTTCGTCTGCTGTTTTCTGTCTTCATTGATTTGTGTTCAAAATAATTATTTATAAAGTTTTTTAATCATTAAGTTTGTTTTACTTTCTTTGTTGGCTGAAAACAAAAAACACAAACATGGTTTTATCATGTTTTTTTAATAATAAAGTTCATAGTTTAATGAACTTGGACTGGACTTCATTTTGTATTTTCTCCTAATGAAAATTAATTTGCTGCATGTGCATTTATATTAAATAATAGTAAACAGGAAATTATTTTGGTGTTTGGTTTTTACCAAGTCAAAATAACTTCTACAATTTATAATTTCCATTTAAATTCATCTTCATTGCCAACTCAGTTCCAGTTCCAAAAACAGTCTAAAATAACGTTTTTGCTTGAATCTAATTATCTTTGGTTAATAAGACAGCTAACCTAATTTATGATTCAGTAATTGGCTGTTTAATGGTCTGATTTGTACAAATAAAACACAGGAAGAACTCCAGAGACCATATTTTCAGTAAAAACTATTAGTCTGTTTTCAGGTTCAGGATTTCCAAAACCTCCTAATTAGAGGCTGTGCATGTTGAACTTTTCTGTGTAACAAACAACTAAAGAACAAGAAGAGCGCTCAGCCTGATCAAAGGTTGACGTGTTTAAACCCACATTACTGTTTAAAAATTAAACTTAAGAACATACAAAAGCTTGTTAGTGTCACAAATTGTCTTTTCTCTCCCCAGTGTTCTCACCTAGTCCCATTGTGATTAAATACATCGAAAAGCTGCAGGTCTTGTGCTTTCATCATTTCTGACTTTAAACATTAAATGTTGGTTTTGTTTTCTTTAAATAAATGGCCACAAACATTTGATCTTAAACCAGAACAAGCTGCACTGATTTGGTGAATTGTTTCTGCAAAGTAAAGAACACTTTGCAAGAATTCACAAATGTTTTATTTTTAAACTTGAAATAATCAAATTGT